GATCGGTGTTTATTCAGATGCATATTATTTAATACAAAACGATCAAATATAAAGACAACTAGAATTACAAAATTCTCTACTCAAGATAATCATAATATGCTTCGTTCTTTAGTTTTAACTTTTCTATACTTGCAAAATTAAGCGAGACTGATAGAGATTACAGTATATATTTATGCACTGATGATTCAATGTTGTACATTTCAGTACGAATTATAGAATTATTCGAAATTTTCTTGAAAGAAAAGGTCTTAAACTTACTGAATTCCTAATTGAGTTTTCCATATATGAACTTTAAATCATTGGATCTGTACTTTACAAAGAGCATTTTTCTGGGAAAAAAAATCGAAACACCTATTTTCCCTGTAAGAGCAATCAACCAATTAATCACACGAAAAATATTACCAAAACACTCACAAAAATTACACGGTTACCGAAGTAACACAAATAGGTGCCAAATTCACCATATTCTGATGCCGAATTCACTAGGTGCTGAATTCACTGAGTGCCGAATTCACTTTTTCGTTAGGTGCCGAATTCACCAGGTGCCGAAATCACTTGTACCCCAAAATGCGCATCATGTTCTCAATTTATAACCTCTTTCTTAGGTCAAATACAAATACATGTCATATACACGTATTAGGGCAATTACCAAATCGCAGCAAATTTAATCTTTTGGTGCTGTTCATAATACAAATAATTATTATCGTTCATGCACATGGTGTACCTGCTTCTTCTCCTCTGTTTCGGCATATGCTGCATGTAAAGGTTTCGGAAGCCATATTACTTACGATAAAGCATTGTCTATATTGCACTCTTAGAGAACTATAACCCCTTCCTTTTAATGCACTATATACTGCTTTCTACATATCTTTTCCAGAAATCTCATTAGGTCGTATTAAAACAGTTAGTCGTTCAAAAATAACACTATAAGTATGTTATTTGAAGACTGGAAATTTATTTTTATGGCGTAATAGTATGATATAGTGATAACAAGCGGAAGAAATACTACAAAAGAGGAAGTACAGGCAGGTCTGGACACCTCTGATATCTTTCAACCCATTTTTAAAAGATATCTCCGCACCAACTTAAATTAAATCAAAATCCTTCAGGATTAATCTTGTAACATATTTTTAATTCATTTATCAAATGTTAAGCCGTTATTTTCACACTAAATTGTCATCAAATTTTCCCATTTACCTGTACAAAGAGCGGTGTGACCGATAGATAAGTGAAACCCACTCCTCCATGGCAGCTGATCCACCTTCCCGTGTTTTATAGGTCCGTGTTTGCCCTGCATCCATTTTCTATTGTTGTAATGGACTTTGAGTTACATGTATGATTAATGTTCGTTATCTGCACATTTCCTTCAAAACCATCCAACAGATCTAAAGTTTTTTTGAAATCCCAAAGTTGGAGTCGTTAGTTTGGGTCTATCTTGTTCTTATTTTCTTTCTTATTTGTTCTTTCTTTCGTTTGATTATTTATGCCACATGTTACACCCTACATGTAGCTCTTGCTACTCTCAGGCTTTATATATTTTATCTAAAAATGTTTAGTTTCAAATTGAGTTTCTCCCACAATAAGGCAGAATTGTGTTCCATTACGATCGATTCGGACATAATTCAGGAATCTAATCTGCTGTCTTTCATTATTGAAGAACATGATGCAAACCACTTGCTCAAAATAACAATCACAATCTCTTATGTATACTGTCATGCTAAAAACTTTTACGTATCTTTAAGATATAATTAATATTGTCGGAATTACAAGAAAGTAATCAAAGATGTATCTCTACTTAGTGAGATAAGAATACACGAACAAAGTTCATTGTGCTAAAAATGGCAAACGAACAAATATCAGTAAAATTTGCTTTGAAACAAACAATGCTTAAAATCTATTTAAAATCACGGAGGATTCAGAACTGGACAAAGAGAACCTCAACAAATCAACGTATTACCAGAATTGGAGTGTAATTATTAATATTTACATTTGCTGTGTTTTTCTACTAAGCCAACTGTGAAATTGATTTGAAAGTCATTTTTGTGTATACTCCCGCGTAGAAATATACAGGACGAAACTCGCGCTAGTGACGTCACAATGAGGCTACAGAGACGCTAATAAAAATATGATGATATAGGGCAGCGAGAAATGCAAAAACTGAGTATATTTTTGGTGCATTTAAGCATGTAAAATGTAAATATAAGGAATGTTTTTAAGTTTTGTGTGAATTATAGGTGTTTAAATCACACAGACTTGCACGTAGGCATATTTTTCATGAAGTGCTAGCGCACTTCATGAAATATGCCTACGTGACAAGTCTGTGTGATTTACACACCAATAACTCACATAAAACTTAAAAAAATTCCTTAAGTGAGGCAGTGTTAAATAAAAATGCTTAAAAACCCGATGAATCAAAACTTCCCTTCAATCTAACAAAATTCAATATGACTTCACATACAAAAACAATGGGGATGTTTAACTAAATTTGGAAGTTAACCATGAAAAAATTGTTATTGTTATCATATTCGATACAATGAATTATTCTGGCAGTTTTAGTACATGTATACTTTTATGCATTTGTAAAATGTTGAGAAGGATCAAAAACCTTCCATAATGAAGCCTCTTGCATTTTATTTATTTAAAATACATTAATATACTTCTGTTAAATTTTTTCCTTTATAAAGTGAAGAAGGTAAAATAATTTTTCATTATAGTTTTAACATTTTCACTTATATATAGCAAAGCTATACCCCAGGGTATAGTTTGTTCTAAATATCAATCAGAAAATTTTCATTTCACTTCTTACGCTTTTTGATTTCCTGTAGTATAATTTTTTGGCACTCCTCCAGCACTGAAGAGTTCCACAAAGCTATAACTATGCTATCCAAGCCTCAGAAATTATGATACACATCGGTGAAATAAAACGCTTATTAAAAGACTGCGAATGGGATAACTTTTTAATCAAACCTTTGACATGAAAAATTCCCTTCAAGCAAGCCCTCGGGAAAAAGACCTTATAATGGCTTTGATAAAAGAGCTGTCCCACTCACCGCCAGTGAATAAATGCATTACATGAAACCCTTGAACGTAAAAAAAGTAAATGGCATAACTTAACATAACCACGTGTACACCAAACTGCCAACGATATATAGTAGATATTCATTAAAATCATATTAATAAACTTCAGAAAAAAATTCACTATGGTGCACCTTTCACGGTAGCTCAGTCGGTAGAGCGCTCGCTCCGTGATCGGGAGGTCGTGAGTTCGAATCTCGGCCGCGACAGACCTAAGTCGATAAAAATAGGTAGCAACTGATCCTTTGCCATGCGCTCGGCGCTTTGAAGTGAAAGTAGCGGGTCCTTCGGATGAGACCTTAAAAACCGAGGCCCCGTGTCACGGCAGGCGTTGGCACGATAAAGATCCCTCACTGCTCAATGACTCTGAGTGCCGAGTAAAGGTCAAAATTTGAAGCCCTTCACCGGTATATGGTGACGTCTCTATATGAGTGAAGAATTCTCGAATGGGACGTAAAACAATATATAATCAATCAATCAATCACTATGGTGCAAGGCGATTAGAAAAAAAAAAAAAAAAAAAACTATCCAGGAAGTCAATACAATGTGAACACGTGCTCAGAAAACAGGCTTAACATTAATATAGTATGGCTTACAACAAATCACTCTATATTCCGTATTGACAACTAATGTACTTCAAGCTGATTTTCAAGTTAAGGAAGTTGAAGGTGAGCTATTTCCTTCCCGATTAGATTTTTGCAACTCCATCACGATGATGTAACAGAAGTCCCTTCATACAAAAACAATAGAGCTTATTTTTTTTATACATTAGAGCATAGAGTGTATTGATATTAGCATAGATGTGTTCTTTTGTGGAATTTACGCCTCTGAATCTGAAGACCGGGTTAAACCTGAATATTACTTCGTTACTTTTACCTTGCTGTACAACTTGCGACAATTCATGTCAGTTTACTCAAATTAAGAAATCATTGAGTGTCACTTAATCAGAACAACAATTATTATAGAGTACTTTTGATTTTTATGTAGAATGTAGTTAAAATTAGTTTTATGTGGCATACCATTTGTATATTAATGTGAACATACACCTTTAGCTGACAAATCTGCCTTTTCTAATACTAACAGAACACACCACAAAGAATGAGTATGGTATCTAGGATGCAGTGGTATTCTGTGTGTCCTGATTCAATGTACTGCAAACGATCACTAAATCATTCATATATGTTTATTTAAAAATGTATATGCATTCTTTATGTAATGTTTATTTGTTTCAGTTTACCACTAAAACTACGCAGGGGTAATAAGGAAGCATACAAAATATTCTACCTTGACTTAATCAGTGCTACATTATGACGTCATAGTAGGCGAGATGACGTCAATTTTAGAATACAAGTTTTCGTAATATTCGTATTTAGAGATGTAATTTAACTCTAGAAAATGAATAGAAACGTGTAAACATTAACAAAAATAAAATGTTTTTATTTTGTTATGCTGTATCTGTCATTTTGATTAAAATCTACCACCGATGACGTCAATGTGTACTTCAAGTAACCTGGGAATTGATCATGTCGTGTAAAGAGAATTTGGCTAAGACGGCATGTACAAAGATACGTAAAATGGAGTTTAAAAGCAAACATTCTGAATATTTTGTAAAATTCATATGGAGTTCAGTTACTAAAACAGGTATGCTAATTTATTTTCATCGAGTGTATTCTCTTCGAAGACAGTCAGCTATATACTGTTAGCTTTTTTACTAAGGAAAATTTCTCTATTAATAGAAGTCACGTGATGCCGTGGTGGTGGTGCACGTCTTTGCATTAGACACTCTTTTATCTTTATGCAATAGATAATAATAGTTTACATTTATCAGCGGTTTTGGTAAATTATCAAACTTAATTTTCTTTAAAAAGTCTGAATTTCCAGAGAATTGACTTATATGCTTCCTTAACATACCCGCGTAGTCTAAAAATACAATGAATGCAAATGCAAATCCTATTAAAATTCATACACAGACCAAGGTATGACCGTACACTTAAATGCAATCATTATATTTCAACTGATTTTTCCCTATATAAAAATAAATCGTTAAATGTGAGTAATCCCCGGCCTTAGACATCGCTGCAAATGTACTGATCCCCGTGCGTTAGTCAGATGAGTTAATCCAGCCATCAAAAGCTAATTCCCGGTTATTCGCAATCCTCTAGATTTTACTTGTGTATTGGTATAGTATGTGAATGGACTAATCCCCGTGCGTTAGTTGAGTGAAGTAATCCCTGTTTTAATAGCTAATTCACTGTTATCTGTCATCTTCTATATTTTACCATTGTATCAGTATAATAAAACAGTTAATGCTGATATTTTTAATTAGTTCTGAAATTTATGAATGATTCGTCACTTTTGGATCCACCATCTTACTGATTGCTATAAATGTTTTCTGTAGCACTTTGTATGTGATCATATACGGATCTAAAGACAATACCATACTCATCCTGAAAAGAAATCGAAAAGCATGATTATAACTTGCATAAATATAACCCCCTCTACCCCCCCCCCCCCCCCGCAAAAAAAAAAAAAAGAAAAAAAAAGGTGTTTTGTTTGTGTTTTCATTTTCAATTTTGTTCTTATATTCCAGATAAAGTAGACAGTTATTTTATGAAATGTTTTCAACAATAGACTAAATTAACAAGATTTGCGTTATAAAAAAAATTATCTAGAACATCAGTTTTGCAGCTTTTTCGTAACAACTTACAAAATTAGTGCAGAACTCTGGTCTTCTAACTTGTAACTGTCTGACAGCAGTAAAGACATCGACCCTGTCATCCATGTTAATCTGTTGTATCACGTTATGAACGGCACAGAAAACACCACACAGGGATGCACCATCTCTGTTGCAAGAAAGATAAGATGCAATAAGGGAAAAATGAAACACACAAAATCGTATTGTAGGATTTGTCATAGGGACGGAGGAAAGTAATTAAGGACAGAAAAGGATCTGCTCAACCCCCCTCCCCCCCACCTTCCACAAAACTATACTCCTTTATATCAACCTTTAAATCAAAGAAACAAGATATTAACAGGGGAAAAATGGAAATATTTTTTGATTAGGGGTTGGCATGAATAACTGAGCTCACGTAACATGTTTTACTTTTCAGTTAGAGAGTTATGACAATAAACATGAGATCATACACATTTTAAAAATGGAAAATCGAGATAAATTGTAGAAATTTTCATACAATTTACTAAACACAAAGAGCGTCCCTTCCATCAAGTGCTCTCTCGTTTATTCTCGTTATTACTAAGTGAAACCCAATATCAAAACTATCGATGAAAATGTTTGTTACTTTACGGTAAAAAAATGAATACCATACTGAATGCTTTGGAAAGAACAAGAAATAAAAATATGACGCCGGTATGTCAACATATATATCATAATTTCAGTATCTCGATCAATGCTAGCAATCTAGAGCTCTGAATCCTGTCAAACCCTTTGCAACACTCGCTGAACCAACAAAGGGTTAAAATAGTGACAGAAAAAAGTGCAAAATCTAAGACAAACCAATATTTCACCTTTAAGAGTTTGACTGACACTCTTACTGGTAAATATCAAAGAAATTTACAAGCACTATCACATTTGAGATTTCTGTCTGCACTCTATATTCATTTTGTATAAACAAACTTATGAAAGTTTTTGTAACATTAAAGTTATAAAATAAATGAATTATGAAAATGATATATAAGAATATAAATGGATTACTTGCTGACGACTGTAATCGGTTTCTCATTCACGGAACTTAGTGATACGGATACCAAGCCTCTAAGCTGGGATGTATCTAGAGGGTTTCCGGATTTTTTGATGGTGACTTTCGGTTCTATTATCGTCACTGACTGAGCCTCCTCCTCAATCTAAAATTAATAAAAAAAAATGGAACAAAGGATAAAACAATAACATATTCCATTCTTAACCATGTTTTATGAATAATAAAAGCTTCAAACATCAATTTAAGATTGCAGCACAGGATGAAATGTAAGATTTGAGAAGTTTTATTTAATTCAATATTTAATATCTTTTGTCCAGAAAGAAAAAAAGTCCAGAATATTGCTTTCTATATTGTATACATGTACATGTAGATTGTAATCATGATATAGATGTATACAAGACAGCCATTACATGCTTACGTATGAAACGTCACCAGTGAAAACTATTTACTTTATTTGGCATTAAGTGAATTGTGGTACTTTTAACGTCAGTTCCGGTCTTTGATTGATAGTGAACAGTGAAAGGAGTGACTATCTTGGAGGAGGAGGGAGTAGGTAACCACGCCTTACTCTAGAACGAAGAAAGACTGGGGTACAGTGTTCTTACAATTCAAATGGACATTTATCACAACCTTATCTTATTAGTAAATGCTAAATTATCTGAATGTTCTGAATCATTAATGCAAACATCAATTTCGCTGATTTAGCTTCTTAAAATTATCCATTCATGAGCGATAAATCGGATTTCTTGATCAATTTCTGTATTAAGTTAATTTAAATTTTAATATCTGAGTCAAAATTTACATTACCACTTTTTTCTTAAAATCCCAGTGCTTAAGTTACGCATTCTGAACATTTTATGTAAATACCGATTCAATCTCATTCAGTGGATCCAAACAGATGACAGTGTCAGATTCATGATCATTGAGCAGGCGGAGGAAGTCAACAGAGTCCTCTGCCGGTGGATACCGCGTTACTACAAACGCTCTACTCTTGGTGTATGACTAAAAAAAAAATCGCAAAAAATCAAACAATAACATATCCATTGTTTTCAGATTGGGAAGGTGGGCGAATTTTATATTCAAGAAAAAAATCAATTTTTCGAATTAAGACAGGTGATAAGGAACCAGTTTATTCTGAGAATTGTAAGCAGTGAAAAATGTATATATAAGATTTATACATGTTAAGGAGTTTATTTTTCGTGGAGAGAAGTAATATTAATTAGATCGTCAATATTTTCTCTTACTGGTACATATATTGCGTTGATGAAGTTTCCTCTTTTTGACACGACAGATGAGAGATGGACACTGTATTTATCCACTATTTAGCGAAATAAAGAATAAATTTCATAAAACAATAAACAAGGCATGATTTCATTTTGTCGTTTGAGAAATTAGAACGCCTGTTAAATACGTTTCATCTTTAGAAAACACTTTGAATTAAATGCAAGTGAAATACTCAAACGTGGCAATGTAATGTTCAATCCTCCATTTCTTTCTATATGACTGCATGTATCTTTTAAACCCTTGTTTAATTTTCCTCAATTCTGAACCATTACAACCTTTTGCATTTCGCCTTCGTTACATCTAGATTTACAATGCTATCACAAGAACGTAACTGGCATATTTATACCGCTTGATTCTGCCATGATAGCGTTTATATTTTGATCTAAGTGCCTGAAAGTTGTCATAAAAAGCGTGGATTTTGGGAATATCTAGCTAGCGCGATATCTTTATCTCTCATCATTGAAACATTTAGGTATCATTTCTCAAATAACTTCTGCTTCATTATTATATAACAATAAAGATAATATCGAGAGAAATTGACCAATAACTATCAAATTGAATATGAAAGTAATAATGTAATATTAAAAATATTCTAAACCTATCGTTCCCTTTGAAATGCCCTGACTTAATACTTACAAGGTAGTATACCATTCGTGTGTTCACCACCACAGCCTTCTTTAGCTAATTTGTAATCAGAGTCGGTGTATGTTGGTCGTACTTTCATCAAAAGCTACAGAAATAGAGATTTATCCAAGAAGCATTCACTTATGAGTAACGTAACTTTGCAGAATTAAACAAGCAATATGCCTCGATTGCATATAGTTTCATAACTTTAACTCATCTTTACATGTACCTTACATCAATATCATGTACAATCACAAAAACTCTTAAAAACGCAAACTCTACAGGCATTCATTTACTCAATAAGTCTTTCTATTGACGTATAGACTGCCTTCTTTAAAATCTTCCCTATCCACAAGTAATCAATTTGACGACTTGTTGCAATAGACTCATTCTTTCCCTGCCTGGTTATAAGTCTGCCATCTTTCCTCAATCACTCACTCGATCAATCACACACTCAATCTCCGACTCGTTAACTCACTTCCTCCCTCCCTGAATTCCTTACTGACTGTCACCCACATGCTCTTTTACTCAGTAACTCACTCACTCATTGACTTACACTCCTCCTCGCTCAACGACTTTCTTTCTAGCTTGCTTACTGATTGACTGACTCACTTACTCATTTGTTCGCTCGACCTCTCTCACTAATTCATTTTGTGTCTAACATATTCCTTCCTTTTTATTTTTCCATCACTCACCTATCCAGAAACTTTTGTCTTTTATCATTCACCCAGTCAATAATCTTTTTATCCTGACATTACTTCAGACAGACACTCATCTTTAACATGCCTATACAGTACCTGGAATTCTTTATGTAGTTCGCTCTGATTGGCTGGTTTGTCCATCGTGATAGATTGAGCCTTTTCAATAAACTCTTCAACTGAGTTTACATTCACAGGGGATTTGTATATTTCGTTTAACGCAAGGAAAATAGTTATATACTGCTCCTGAAATATTTTGAATATTCTTTTAGAATGCTAATTTCATTTAAAAAAAGAGAAAAGAGAAAAGAAGAGACATGTCCAAATTAATCTTTGGGTTTTTTACTACCAGATATATATAATTTAAATAACTAAGAAATGCTATTAATTTTCTATCTTGGGTAAATATTCACATTCATTGTTAAACTTGACTTGTATGTATTGTAAATAACTTGCAGTTTATTTAGTTTTCAATAACTTGCAATAAATAAAGACCTTAATAAGGCAACAAGTACACACTCATTATTCTTTACAATGGCATTTATCAACGGTAGTGTGTGTGACAAAGATTACATTTTCTAGTAATGTTTCTTAAATCAAACACTTCTCAGATGAATTGACAAGCATAGACTGTATTTTTAAAAGGATTATTTAAGAAACAGACTGCTTTTTGAAGGGTTATGATAATTATCAAGACTATTGTTTGAGAGGGTTGATATAGACTGTTATTTTAGGAAGAATTGATTAAGACTGTTAGTTTAGTATTGCTATTTTAATAACTTGTTGTTAAGTAGGATTGACGTACATGTTTTTAGTACTTTTACTTGACAATGATTGTTATTTAAAGTTGGATGACATAAATTGTTATTCAAGTATTGTTTTACACACCAAATGTTCTTTAGTACTGATAATTTTCAGAAACTGTTGCTTTAGAGGATTTTCATAGACCATTATTTCAGTATGTTATTTTAGATTTAATGATATTTTATGACTGTTAACATGGACTGTTATTTCAGTATTGTTTAATAAATCGACTGTTTTTTTTTACTATTGTCGTTTAACAAAGACTGATATTATATGATTGACGTACGTAGGTTTGGACCATATTCATCCTGTTTTCTCTCATCTTCTTGACATATTCCGCTACGTTGACTTTTCCCGTCTTTCTCCCTATTTTGTTCAAGGCGTCTATTGCTATGTATGTCCCCGTTCTTCCTATACCCGCACTATAACTCAGAAGATATAATTATCTGTGCTTATCAAACTTTTAATTTACATGCATCTAGCAATATCACATTTTCATATCTATATTTTAAATCATTATACTTTCATGCTTATCAAAAACCTTATGAAAAAATTACAAGTAAAACGTGCTAATCTAAAGAAGAATGCACCTGCAATGCACAACAGTCGGAGAGTCATTCTGATTGGTTCGTGTTCTCGTCACGTGATCAAGGAAGACAACAAGACATAGAGGATCCGGGGTTCCGTGGTCTGGCCAAGACGTATAATGATGCTGAGTCACCACACGTGACTTCTTCGTCTAAAAAGTACATTTAATACACAAGAGGCCCATGTGCCATAATGTTCACCTAGGTATATACATGTATGGTCCTTCTGTTCTTCTAAGCAGATTTTATCTCTCCTATATATTCTTATGTAAATCTTTTATCATATATTATGGTCCCACCAGGGGGTCATGATTTGAACAAACTTCAATCAACTCAAGATGCTTACATATAGATATGACTAATCATGACCTTTTTGTTGTTGACATGAAGATTTTTAAAGATTTTCCTTCTGTATTCATAAGTAAAAATTTGATTGCCCACTGTGGCCCCATCCTACTCCCAGGGCTTATGATTTGATCAAAATTGAATCTACAGTGCCTGTGAGTGTTTCCATATAAATATGACTGATCATGGCTGAGCTGTTCTGTGAAAAAGATATTTTAAGACTTCTCCTATATATTCCTATGTCAATCTTTGAACGCGTATATCTGCCCAATCTTTTACCCAGGGGGTATAGAAAAAACTTCAATCTACACTACTTGAGGATAATTCCATATAAATATGACTGATCAAGGCTTGTCTTGAGAAGATTCTAAAAAGATTTTTTCCACTATATACATGTATATATTTATGCATAATCTGGATTTCCTGATGTATCCAAACCCTACCCTGAGAAAAAAAAAATTAAAAAAGGGATTTTCCCTATATATACCTTTATAAAATTTCCCTTCTGTATTACTATAACTGATAGTGACTTTGCTGTTCTTTAGAAGAAGATTTTTAGAGATATATCCTGAATATTCCTATGCTTCTGTTGTGGTCTCGCACTATAACACCGGGGTCTTGATTTGAACAAATACGAATCTACGTACTGGTAAATTTCATCTTTTATAGCCCTGCTGTTCTGGAGAAGTAGATTTTTACAAGATGTCTCCAAATGTTTACGAATTCTTAATTATCTCCCCTTTAAAGAGGGCCTACCACTTCCTGTGAACAAACTTAAACCCAGGCTGCTTTGTTGCAAATTTGGCTGAAATTGGCTCAGAGATTTTGGAGAAGTCGAAAATAAAATTGACAGACAACACACACCTCACGACAAACAGACAAAAAGACGAACGTCGGACATTTTTCATTAGAAAAGCTTATGATTTTGATGTAGTTTAGCAATGCTAAGATAATGTTATAAATTTGAAATATGCCTTGAAGATAATTTAAAACTATGTCCAAAAAAAAAGAACTTTTCATTTTCATGCTAAATTGGTGAGCTTTTTGTGTTTTAAAAGATCCACTCTTTTTAATCATTAAGTACATGTACATGTATACATATGTGCATAAAATGTTATTTTTTAAATTGAATGGGGGAAAAATGCTATAGCTAATGGTGAAAATTTTACAGCCAAAAAAAAAAAAAAAATAAAAAAAAAAAAAAAATAATAATAATAATAACTGAAAAGATATGACTTTTTGTAACAACCAAATACAATAACATTTTTTTTTATAATGAAATATCATAAAAAGAAATGCATGTGAATTAAGGCTAGGTATAAGCGTTTCTATGCAAATGAGCTAATAAAAAAGGATAAGAGGTAAATTTATTATTCGGAGAAAATTTTGATTAATTTTCTTATACATACTTAGTACCCATGATATGTTATAGCCTGTATACATTTTGACGTCGTATCATGACGTCAGTGTTCATACCTACTGGATGAAATATAACACATAAACAAAACAGCTACGGCGCAAGGGATAATCCTAATTAATTTGACTTAAAAATTGTAAAATGCTAAAAAGAATATACTATAGAATAATAAAACTACTGCACAGATCCTAGACATTTTATCGATTGATTGAAATTTGAGGAAACTTATACAGGACTGTACATTTTTATCTTGATTCAACTTAGAATTATGCAAATAGTAATTAAACAACTGAGCTGTTGATATATATATATATATATATATATATATATATATATATATATATATATATATATATATATATATATATATATATATATATATATAAAGCACTAAAAACCAACAACACTGTATATCCTAAGTGTCGGATCTACTAAGTAGATACAAGGTCACGGATGGAAATTTATATAAAGCACTAAAAATGACCAACGACACGAACAATAATAATTGTCAAATTTTCGGGACAACCTGTCCCTTCCTCAGGACAAAGAAAAAAGTTAAGAAGTCATAAAAACAAAGGAAATAGAGAAGCAAAAACAACTAGCACTACTACTAAACTACCAAACACTAAATATTTACAATGTTACATGTTTAATTTGGAGTTTATAAACAGTTGTGAACAAAGAAATCCGGAGCGCTATGAATTGCGTCCGGTCTATCGGGTGTAGTCTGGTGAAGTGTGATTTACATAATTGAACGAATTAATTATCGCTAATTAATTACGGCCAACAGTAAATCGTACATTGTCTTATTCTCTCAAAATAGCGTAACTCTACATGATAAAAAGAAATTAAAGAAAGATAATATGGAAGGACAATTTTGAAATATGAATTTGGATATATTATAAATTTGGAAATCGGAAAAAAGAAATAAACAAAAATTTGAGCTGTAAATATTTGGGTAGGTTGTTCCAGGATTACTGATACGAATTAACGGTAAAGTTTACACTATATAGAGAGAATGAACTTGTTTGTTACAATCCGAGATTGGGTCTAGTTCACGTTCATCCTGGTGAAGTCATTAAGTTTGTTAATACCATTAGGGCGGAATGACTTCAGCCTGTGCATCCAGAACTTTTCCTTGCCTTTTCTCTGCGCGTCTGTCCATCTTGGATTATGGTCAATAACCACTACTGTCATGTCCTCCCATTTGTGTCCTTCAAGGTTGAAATGTTCCCCAACGGGTTCATTGAGTTTTTTGGTCCTAATGGTAGAACGGTGATTATTGACCCTCCTGCGAAGATCCCCTGTTTCACCAACATACTGTTTGGAGCAAACTTTGCAACTGATGAGATAAATGCAGTTGTCTGTTTGACAGGACAGATTCCCTAGTATTTTGTAGCTGCGGCCTGCAACGGGGCTGTTAAAACTGTCTGTGTCAGAACTGTACTTACAGAGAAGACATCTTCTGTCAGAGCAAGTTTTAAAGCCCCCGTTAGGTAATGGATTGTCCAATCTGGTTCTTACTACCATGTCCTTCAGGTTCCTCGCCCGTTTTAACAGCCCCGTTACAGGCCGCAGCTACAAAATACTAGGGAATCTGTCCTGTCAAACAGACAACTGCATTTATCTCATCAGTTGCAAAGTTTGCTCCAAACAGTATGTTGGTGAAACAGGGGATCTTCGCAGGAGGGTCAATAATCACCGTTCTACCATTAGGACCAAAAAACTCAATGAACCCGTTGGGGAACATTTCAACCTTGAAGGACACAAATGGGAGGACATGACAGTAGTGGTTATTGACCATAATCCAAGATGGACAGACGCGCAGAGAAAAGGCAAGGAAAAGTTCTGGATGCACAGGCTGAAGTCATTCCGCCCTAATGGTATTAACAAACTTAATGACTTCACCAGGATGAACGTGAACTAGACCCAATCTCGGATTGTAACAAACAAGTTCATTCTCTCTATATAGTGTAAACTTTACCGTTAATTCGTATCAGTAATCCTGGAACAACCTACCCAAATATTTACAGCTCAAATTTTTGTTTATTTCTTTTTTCCGATTTCCAAATTTATAATATATCCAAATTCATATTTCAAAATTGTCCTTCCATATTATCTTTCTTTAATTTCTTTTTATCATGTAGAGTTACGCTATTTTGAGAGAATAAGACAATGTACGATTTACTGTTGGCCGTAATTAATTAGCGATAATTAATTCGTTCAATTATGTAAATCACACTTCACCAGACTACACCCGATAGACCGGACGCAATTCATAGCGCTCCGGATTTCTTTGTTCACAACTGTTTATAAACTCCAAATTAAACATGTAACATTGTAAATATTTAGTGTTTGGTAGTTTAGTAGTAGTGCTAGTTGTTTTTGCTTCTCTATTTCCTTTGTTTTTATGACTTCTTAACTTTTTTCTTTGTCCTGAGGAAGGGACAGGTTGTCCCGAAAATTTGACAATTATTATTGTTCGTGTCGTTGGTCATTTTTAGTGCTTTATATATATATATATATATATATATATATATATATATATATATATATATATATATATATATATATATAGGTGAAATACCTACCTCTTTTTGGATTACAGTCATTTTTCGAACAACGTAGAATGCGTACTCTTTTTCCTCGATCATTTTCACAGATACAATTCCGTAATTGATGTGTTTGTTTCCATCCGGCCAGTATTGTGTACACTTGATCTTCAAGAATATGGATTTTGAAAATGTATAATGACTTCTCGATGTAATTATTGACGCGCATGTGCAAAAGGAGATTCACAGGGCCAGATAGGATTGTACTGCAATGAAACTACAGTTTTTCTTAATTACCTTTATTTTTTGTCTTTTGAATTCTCATTCCCTTCCTACTTTTAATATTATTGTTTCCTCATTACAACGTTGAAATATAAAAAATAGTTTATTGGATTTTTTTTTTACTTATATATGTGTTTTAGCTTGCAATTCGAAATTTGATGGATTAATTAAAACAAAATTATGTAATCTTTATAATATTTTACTGACATCTACACATATTGGCTTTCAGCTGGAAGCTGATAACAGATTTCTAGAACGCCGACCAATTATTTACGATATTGTCAATCTGATTTACCTCATTTCACAAAAAATATCTACATCATATGGAATCTATAAACAGCAAAATGCAGATTTTTACTGACAAAAAATAGAAAATATTTCAGAAAGACAAGTGTGAACATTAAAACGACCCAGTCTATCAGTGGAATCGTGTTTTTGTACAAAAGAAGTAAACTTGTATATCTTTTAGCAAATCAAGTTCAGAGTGAACAATTAAAATGTAGACAGTGAAATCTCATACGGAAAGATTAATGATTAAGGTACCATGAATTGATAACACTGTCATCTCAAAAATTGTTTAAAAACACGTTTAAAAACCATTATTCTTATATTCCAGCCAAAATATATTTCAATGTATTACTATAGGATTTTTAAAACTGTTTCTGAATAAAAAACAGTATTACAGAAACTAGAAGTCTAACCAAAATTAAGACTACTTAGAAAACGGTTTTTATTACCTCCTGGGGTGCAATTTGGAAAAACGTTTTCAAGGATAATTGATGGTCATTTCCCAGTTTAATTCTTTTTTGTCTTCGACGATTTTAGAGTCAATTACAGAAGATTAAAGAAGCATTCATATATCAATACAGAAATGTTACATATTTATTGTTTGACTGCAAGGTACCTTATTCCTTTCCTTCAGATTCGTCAGCATCACAATAGCAGATACATTCTCTTGCCAAATCATCGTCCAAAAATCACCAACAGTGTTTTGCTTTGGTCCTAAAAATAAATATTACATCAAGTAATTCGTACCTTCCCTATTTTGTTCTATCATTAGGGTATTAGTCCGGAATATACAATGCTGGACAAAAAATCAATGCTTTATCTGTTCATCTCCAGTCACCACATTCACAAAAAAGATAATTAAAGCATCATATTAAGGTCTTGTGTGAATTTGATTGCTTAGAATAAAAAAAAAGAAAGATTGAATTAAAAAAGAAAACTCAGGTCATAGAATTACATTCAACTCTAAATAGGCATACAAATTTATCTTTGAGATACCTTCACAATATATGCCGTTGAAAAGATGGTCGTGTAATAACGGTAACCAGAAAAAAATGTATCAAAGAATGAGAAGTGGTACAGTAGTTTTTGAATTAAAGTTCTACTTCTGCTATTAGTACTATTAGCAAAGGACCACTATTTTAACAGTTTTATACCAGTATGTATTTAACAAAAAAAAATAATTTAATACAGCAACAATTGTTCCTTACAAGTTTTAAGGAATAAGAGAAAATTTACAATTTGTAATCGTTTTATACTGAAAATCCGTCAAGCTGATAATTATAAAAGTAAACTTCCGAAAAAAGATTCTCTTTTAACAGGGATTTTCCTAATATTACGCGGTGTAACAATATAATGTATCATAAAGTGGTTTTTGAGAGTTAAGTCATTTTACTTGTTAAGTAAAAGTGGACGTATTGTTTAGAATATACACAGAATCTAATCTGATATAATAGGAAACAGATAATTTGTAATATAAAAGTTGATGTCATTTGAACTTTAAGTTGATTCTTTTTCAATCATAAAACTATAAATACCTTGTGAAGCGATGTATTCATGATCTCTCTCAGCGCCCTAAAATGTAAAGATAAAATAAATGTGTTTGAATAATTAATATTAACAGAAACAGGTTCAAGATTATTTCAAAAAAACAAAATTTTCATCTACTATGATAAATATCTGAAGAATCATATTATGTTTTATCGATTCTAACAAACGTGGTTTAAACTATGAAAAGTTTAAAGCACTTTTAGGAAGAGAGATTGATGCATTTAGATATTGTAAAAAACATTAACCTTTAAAAGTTTCCTTACCTCTATATAGTTGGCATTTATGTAGTCAGTTCCAGTCTCCGTCCTTAAGATTACCCTAGTATGGTCATCTTAAAAAAAAAAAATATCAGCATTTTTTTTAAAATTTCAAATAAATGAATAAATAAATGATGTCATAAAATAAAAAAAAAAAAATAAATTAAAAAAAAAAAAATAAATCAAATCAAATCAAACGAGTCTTACAAGGGAATGTAGTCTTAAATCTATTTTTAGGAACATTTTCATCTCTCTTTCCAATGTCACATTTGTGATTTTCACCATAAGGTAGAGTCTGAAATACAGCAGATGTATTTTATTTTAAACATTGTTCTTTAAGCATATCTAAGCTTTGTTCTTGAGCTCAAATTTTTAATTTACTATCGTAAATAATCTTATTACGACCCAAAACATTTTACTTAATTGATATATACCGGTAAATGCTATGATTGTACGTTATCAAAGGAATTTTGCTTACCTAAACACGGTTAAAATATAGTAGAAAATCTATATACTATTCAAAACTGACATATTGAAGGGATTGTGATGTATCTAATATAAATTTAAATCCTCTATCCTATATAAAGAGCACTCGAAATATCTGAACAAAAAAATCCTTCTGGCGTCTTGAGTTTGAAACATATATTACATTTAGAGATCACAAAATACAAACAATGAGGATTGTGATTAAAAGTTTTTTTTTTTTTTTTTTTTTTTTTTTTTTTTTTTTTTTTTTACATTTTTACTTAGGACGAATTCAATGCAGACACGGTGTCTGTTCGCAAACAAAACTTACCGCATACTCTTTCTGGAAACCGTCATTATCATCTTTGCTTTTCTCAGAAATGATACGCTCTAACCGACTAATCAGAATATCCGGCGTGGTGACATTATTCATGTACATTTCACCATACGGATTTTCTGCGTGTATAAGCTCATCTTCATCCACATCGATTGCGTTAACATCTTTATTACTAATCAGAGATTTTTCATCTTTTGCTTTTATGGAGGTCTTAAGTTTTCGTTTTTTGGAGGATGATAGACCAACGTCTGTAACGTTTTCCTCGCTATCTCCTTCCTCATCTTTAAACACAAGATAATTAATTTTTTTATTTTATATATTATATATTAAATACATAATGATAAGTCACATATAAATATAAATCTTAATAAACATATATCTCACAGTGTATTGCCCTTTTAAACTGTTTATTGTCCCCCATACCTTTGCGTGCATGATGCCTAATAAATTAAAAAAAAATATAAGAAAATGATGTTTTAAAAAGTGTCAAGTACTGGATAGTCGAAATCATATGTTTTGAAGTAATTGTGCTTTGTAAAAGAATTTTTTTTAGAGAGACAATTACCTTCTCAATACCAGCACAACAATCAAAATTACAAGAATGGCAGTTAAAGCTCCAGCAATTCCCCCAACGACTGCTACTTGATCTTTTCCCTTATTCTTCTGAGTGGAAGCCTTTCAAAAATGTGTTTGAAATATACAGTTAAAATTTTGCGATTTGTCGATGAAAGGAGAAGGATCTATATATTATGATTTGCTGCTTTAGTGCATACCTCAATACACTCACCCCATATATTGGGCATTCTCCAGAAAAGGAGTCACACGTATTATTTACACAACTGTCACTGCAGTTTTGCATACAGTCGAACCCATATGTATATGAGCTACATTCTGAAAGTAATCAGTTGCATCAAGATTACCTAAGAACCAGTTAAATGAACATTCCGAAAATAACCGTTGCATCAATCTTCTGAGGTATCAATATTAGTCATTAACATAAGATTGATGCATTATCTATAAATAATTTTTATGAATATACTTTACCCTGTAAACAGTCTATCCCTTGGTAACCTTGTCCACACCCACTTAAACAAGATCCATTTATGTGGTGACAGGAGGAAGGGGGGCGACATTTACCACACGTTTCACTACAGTTTTTGCCATATTGATTATTGGAGCATTCTAAATCAAATATCCTGAAATCATTTCTTTTAAATAAAGAAAGTTTTTTGTATTATAATTTTGCAAGGAAAGAAAGTATATAATATCAACTTTTGTTCAAGACATGACTTTTGTAAAATTAGTCTTAAACTGTTTGAAAAAAAAAAAAATTAAAAGAATATGCAGGTAAGATGTCATGCTTTCCACTTCAGTGTATATGATCTTGGAATTTTTTTTTCATACATTAATTTTGCATTTCTACGTCACATGTCATTCACTTTTTATACAACTCATTTTTATTGTAACTAAAACTGTGCTGTTGGTTCATGGTGAAGCTGCAAGTATATACTGAATTAAGAACACTTTGAAAATTTCTGTAATTTTTCCATATATTGAAGCTACATTCTTGATAAATTTAGAAAAAAAAAATTGCAATACACTTGTTACGTGAAATTTTATGTATTAGGTCTTCCTCTTTAACCAATATGATTTTATGGTCACTATTTAATTACAGATATCCTTCCATTTTTGTAATCCTACACATGACGTATTGTAGACAAATACACGTTTGAGAGTTTGTAAACAAATTTTACCTTTATCACCTTTTTATCGCCAATTGGGACTGCTTAAAAATATATTTTTATGCTTATTTTATAAGCTGCTCATTTTCATGTATAGTGCAAAATATGTAGAAAAAGTATATAGATTTGATTGAAGGATTGAATGTATACTGTGTTATGTCCCCTTCAAAAATATTTCCCTCAAATAAAGACGTCACCATATACCGGCAAAGGGCTTCAAATTTAGACTTATACCCAGCACTCGGAACCAGCGAACAAGGTGCGTTCTCAATCGTGCTAACGCCTACCGTGTCAGGGACCTCATCCGAAAGACCCGTAACTTTCACTTTTTATGCTGGACGCTTGGGGAAGGAAAAGTCACTACCTACGTTAAGATTTAAGTTTGACGCATCGCAGCAAACGAGAATCGAACCCGGGCCTCCCGATCATATATATATATATATATATATATATATATATATATATATATATATATATATATATATATATATATATATATATATATATATATATATATATATCTATCTATCTATCTATCTATCTATCTATCTATCTATATATGTATATATATATATATAATGTATGTTTTTGAATGAAAATTTTCATCATTTATTATTTGTGTGTGTGCTTAAATCTATTAAAGTATCATTGTAATTTGCGATTAAGAGAACTTGCAGATTACGTAAAAGGATACACAGTGTACAGTCCTTATACAAAGCAATTTTAAAAACTGTAAAATGCACTGTACCGTTACTGCACAGAAGTCCTTCCCATCCAGGTTGACATCCGCCATCACATTTCCCTGTCATCCTGTTGCATTGATTGGGTATACCACAATTTTCGTTGCAATTTTGTTCACAGTTATTCCCGAACTTTCCTTCTAAACATTCTGTACAAAAGCAAACCCTAAACATACAATAATTATCTTACACGTAATAGCAAGGAAACAAGCTCCAAGGGCAAAGTACACATTATACAAACAAATGAAATTCCTGTTAAAATCTAAACATTGTTCAAAGAAATTTTTATGATCCAAAAACTACCAATCATTTTTACGAGCATAGAAACGTAGGGGCTAAGGCAAAGCAACGACTTCTTCAAAATTGACAAACAGTTTATCTCTGTTACAAACTAATGTATACAACCTCAACAAACATAACCTTTACTGTGACGTCATTTTTCCGTCAAGAAATTTGTCTCGGGTATTTTCTAATTTGTCGGATCTGTATGAGAACTATCCAAGAGTTCTGGAATCTTGTAAGACACATTAAAAAGTATACAGAAAATTGTAACTTCATATGCATTTGGATCCATTTTATTTTATATGTGTAGAAATTATTAATTTTTACTTAAAGGAAAGTTGTAATGCGCACTCGGTAACGTATTCGTCATCGGATATATTATATATTAGTTGTTATAACAATATAGTATACATGTTTTAACCTTATTGTTAGATATACAAGAATGATAATTACCAAAGATGCATAATAAAAAAGAAACTCGTAAAATATTACCGCTATCACAAAAAGTCCCTTCATACCCAGCATCACACCCTTCAGTACAAGATCCATTGATGTGGTGACATTGTTTATATTCAAGACAAGCTCCACATCTCTGTCCACAATCCTGTCCATATCTGTCACCACCACATTCTATTGCAGGTATTAAACACAACAGTGTGTTAAAAATTCATTTAACATATATATCTATAAAGGTTATTTTGTACCGTATGTAAAAATGTAATATGACTGCTTCAGAGATCAGCAATATTAGGAATCTGAGTGCACACACATTATATAATGCTAAACAGTGTCTAAAGATAAAAATCTTAACAATGTTACGGTTCTTTAGGACATAAAAATTTAATGATTTACATTTCCTGCCTTTAAAAGAAGATATAAAATAAAGTTTATTTTCCACCTTTTTCACATTGATATCCCTGATAGCCCGGTTTACACCACGAACAAACCCCAGTTTTGATGTGACAATAAAGACAATTGCCAGGACAAGGAAGAGAACAATTAGTTTCGTAGTATCCAGCCCTGCAACCTTCAAATATCAACATTTGTAAGAAGGCAAAAACAAACTTAAAAATTTATGTTTTCACATTTTATATTTCATAGGTATCCATTTATGTTACTTTACATATTAATGATTTTTCGCTCCATTTGAATTTTAATTATTCTGTTTTCTAGATTGATTTTGCGTGTCCTGTAACAAAAGTTGAAAAATGTAACCAATAAGCAGTTAAATAAAATATCTATAGAATACTGCCATTACTAAAGAAAACTATCGTTAATCTTTGTGATGAAAAGAAATAAATTCTTACACAGTTGTATTTGTGGAAAAAATAAATAACTTTATTCCTATACGTTCGCAAAATTTAATTTACAACATACCATACACTTCCACCTCACAGAGTTCTAAAAATGCGTAGGAAGAGTATCCACTTGGATAATTGATATTAGGAAGTCTCTCATTATAGTAGATAACATACTGTCCATGCACGGGACAGGTTATATTGGCGACGGCGGGTATCGAAGATCTGGTATAATTTGTATCGTGGAAACATAAATGCCCATCCAGTCGGTCTGTCGTGTTTGATACATAAACATAAAACCCCAAAAATCTTGTAGTGTACAAAGAAAATGCATCTGAAATTTGAAAATATCGTCTTGATATGCAAAATCGTTTTTTCCCATTTTTTGTTCCCTCCTTTTGCAAAAGTGCCGGGGCACTTATTTTCATTCGCCTGTCTGTCACAAAAGCATTATCCCTTGTGTGAGTTTAAATATGGCTTACGTATTTAACATGTTCATTACTTGTGACAGGGCATTTCCTAATGTTCTTTTTTTACCTTATAATCCTGGCCATAAAGTTTGATACTAACCAACCGCAATAAGACCCGAATGACAAGAGACCAAAAACTCTGGAAACTTGCATGTTTATGTTGAAAAGGAAAAAAAAAATCTTGAGCCGTAGAATATACGTATTTTAGCTGTAAAGGTACATGTACATTCCAAATCAATATTCGTATTAGACATTTGCATTTTAATCAATATTTTTCTTTTCCATATTTTTTTTAACTTTTAATGATCATTATCATAATTTGGCTTCATCAAATAATTTTGGAGGATGAACTTACCCCACATCCTGTTTTCTGTCCTGTAATAAATTCTTATGCGTTGAATACTGTAGATTGACCTCAAGTTTACCCTCCAGGTAACAGTTGTGTATCCATTATCTGATAAAGCACACTGTCCTCCCCAAGCTCCAAGGTTAGTTTTCAGACCATCTACAGCATTACTGGAGTGGAATCTACTATCCCCTCTACTGTACTGGTTTGATTGCCATGTTGGTTTATTTAATGCCACATTCTCTTAAAATGACGATAATTTATATATGATATTTTGTATTATCACCTTTTTTTTAGTGCAATGCATGTTTAAAACTCTGACATATTCGAAAAATATTCTAATATACCCTCCAAAGAAATTTCGTATAATGAAAGTAGAACTGAAAATTAAACATTCAATTTTAGATATAATTTAAACGTCCAAATAAAGCAAATGTAATAATGCGTATGTTATACATGTATAAATATTATTTATTAGTCCCCTACCGGTGAAACCGGAGGGGACTATATGTTTCCTCTGAGTCTGTCCGTCCGTCTTTCTGTCTGTCCGTCTGTCTGTCTGTCTGTCTGTCCCTCTGTCTGTCTGTCAGTCTGTCCCACTTGGTTTTCCGCACTTTTTTCCTAAACGCTTGCAGATATTGAGCTGATTTTTGGTATGTAAGTGTATCTTGATGAGTTACAGATCAAGTTTGCATTTCGTCCCGCTTCATTGATTTTTGACGCAATTATGGCATTTACAATTCTTAACGGGAATGGAACCAGATTACACTTGCCGGTAGGGGACTAGTATTGCTAATGCAATACTCTCAGAATACTTGTTGCTCTTGTCACGACTATGGCACTTGTTGCTATCCCTGTTACATTTTATCGAAATAAAATTCAATCGATTGACTGTATGTTGTTTTATGTCCGATTCAAGAATTTTCATTCATATAGAAGACGTTACCATATACTGGTGAAGGGCTTCAAATTTAGACCTTTACTCGGCACTCTGGTACATTAAGCAGCGAGGATTCTTTATCGTGCCAACGCCTGCCGTGACACAGGGCCTCGGTTTTTAAGGTCTCATCCGAAAGACCCGCAACTCTCATTTCAAAGTGCCGAGCTGTTGGCGAATGAACCGTTGTTACCTATTTTTTTTTTTTATCGAATTAGGTCAGTCGCGGCTGTGATTCGAACACACGACCTTCCGATGAATTAAATTCGATAATGTTAGGAGACTTTTATTGCTTTCATCTAAGCTTAGTTCCCCTAAATGATGTAAAAGTAGAGAAATTGAAATCGTATTCCACAGACTTAAAATAATGAATTGAGCGATTTAGATCTACATTCTATCAAGGTCTAGAGGAACACCAATATACCTTCCTGAAAAAAAAGTTTCATAACTGTCTGAAGAGCCAACACGACTGAAAGCACTTACAGTGAAGAGTTTATTTAATTTGACTTTAGCATTCCGTTTTTTTTACGTAAGAACGAGGGCTGTCCCACAATTCCGTAGACTGAGCTCACTTCTTTTTTAATAGAAATTAATGTATCTGCATAAAATCTTTTGTGTGGATAAGCTGTGTTTTTGAAAGAGAAATTACGAAGTTTTAACATGATGACTTGAAAACAGTTCGAGGAATAAGAATTGAAGTGTCGACGTCGAAAAAGATAGGCCTCACCGGTTTTAAGAAATTTTCAGGAAATACACTAATTACCAGTATCAAATTCCTTAATCATTAAGATTATAAATAAATGAAATATCCTTATCATTATGAATGATTAAACATTAAAATATATAAACAAAATTTGTGCATGTACATTCATAAAATAATATTATCTTGAAACCACAAATGTTTCTACGGGTTTTTCGTCTGCCATCTTCAATGGAATTGCACAGTGTCGCTCTTGCCCGATTCTTATGCCGGAGGACTCTTTTTATAGTTTCCCTTCTTCACATACTTAGAGAAATACTTAGAGAAACCATTTCAGATATTATGATTTACTAAGTACCAGAAGAAATTGCCATGTTTACCAAACATTTATTACTTGTGCATTTCTGTAAGAGTGAATTCAGGATCAAAACATATGATCACAGTGTATATGTGTAAACGCAGTCGCTATTTTGCAACAAGTCAGAGTTGAAACCGCTGGGTAAAAACCATTATAAATTCATATTTGTGAAAGTGTACACCCAAAGTTTGAAGTAAAGTAGTTAATAACACAATATTAAAAATTTTCATTTCTATTTCCGAAATTCTGAGTAGCAAATGCTTTATTGTAGGATTTTAAATATTATAAACCGATTTTTAATTGTAATTTTTGGGTACTCTGCCGACTTCTTACACCTGTCAATGATCTATCTATAACAAATAAGGTTAATTTTTGAAATTGTATGTCCATAAATTTATTAATAATTGTTGAATTAATCTATGTACACAGTTTTATCAATTAATGACACCAGGTTCCTACAAAACTACACCTGTGTACGAAATTTCGGGACAACCCTTGTATCTTTTGCTTTTCCCAAATTTATCTTATCAACACACACACACTCACCCACACACACACACACCCTCACCCTTACATACACACATACATGCGAAGGGTGTTAAGCCGTGACAGTTGTTAGATACAGTCAAAGTGGGGACTTCTTTATTTTTTATTTTTTCATTGTCTTTTGACCAAAAATATTAGTCTACCTATAATCCTGATGATAATTATAATGAGTATATAACGAAATCTTTAATTTTAAGCCTAACACGTTTAACAGCACAAACGGGGACCTATTTCACACCCTTTGATATTCACACACCAGTACTTGATTAATTGTATCTAAACGGCGACATTTTTAAAAGAAAAAGCATACTAATACTCTCATTTTTGCCTTTTATTCACTTAACACAACCATTCTCATCAGTGATTAGGATCATTGTTGTCTTTATAGGCACTTGAATGTCTTATATTATAAAGTGTATACATATCTTACACAAGAGTGGAACGTTTATTATAATACAATCGATGACATGTATGTATGAATTATTACTATACAATTAAGGGGACGTGTGCATTAATCATCACAATACAATAAAGGATATTCATGTATAAATCATTAAATTTTGAACAATACAGTTACCGTAGAGGGCATCTTGGTAATAAATTATGTACTGTGGAATCCTTAGATTTTGTGGTGGCTCAGTTTTCGTGGAATTCGTGGGTGGCCCTCATCAACGAATTTACAGCATCCACGAATTAATCAATTAGGGTTACAAAATCATATTTCCTTTCGTAGATATCAGAAAATTATCCACAAAATTTCATCGCCATGAACTTGTAAATTTAACAGTTTGCGAAATGGGCCCCCACGATTTTAAATGATTCTACAGTAATACTTTTTGGGTAGATGTTTTAAATAAAGAAAGAGTATAGACAAACACATGATTCTCACTAAAAATGTACAAATGTGCTTCTAGCTAATTATAAAGTATAATGGCATCAACATTTTAACAGTTGTGAAATGTACGATTTACACAT